CACACATTGTTTGTATACCAGTACTGCTTGTTCCTGTACACTTTTTTACAAATAGAAATGAATCTTTGTAGAGAATATCAGAGGTGAAGGAAAGTAGTGCTTGATTTGGGATCTTTCAACTGATAAGTCTGTCACTGATATGTGTTCTTTGAAGTTGTCATTTGGAAATAATTTTTGTTTGCAGATCTAGTTTACTATAATCTCTTTTCCCAGATTTCATATGTTACTACTAATAAACCCTAGTGTTAGGGGGAAAAAGTTCCTAGTAATTGATATGCTAAATAAGTCTGTAGCATACTTTCATGCAGATTTGGAATTCTAGTGGCTGAATTTTCATACCTCAGGAAAATGAAAATGAGTCCCTTCCCCTCTGAATTTTTTTTTTTTTTCCCAGGCTGATAAAAGTAGTGTTTGAGAATTTTAAAGATTTTGAATACCCTTGAAATCAAAGTAATCCTTTTGCTAGGAACCATCATGTTGCTGCATATGGTTCAGGTCCTGTTTAAGGTTAAACAATACTTAAAAATATCACTCAGAGATCTGCTCCAGGGCTGGATAGTTGTGAGTAGCAGGGTGTGTTGGATAGTATGGGTAAGTGCCTAGGGCAGTTGACTTCTCCAGTGTTTTGGGATTTCACCCCTGAAGAAGTGCAGAATCCAGAAAAACTAGTAAAATACTTTGAATGAGTATGTTGTCGCCTTGGCAATTCCAGATACACACAAATCACTGCAATGTGCTGGGACCTGGCCCATGTCTACAGAGATTTGCTCAACAATATCCAGTACCCTCAAGGGGAAAAGAAGGTCTCTGAACCTGACAACAAAACGGCAAGCACTGCAGCCACTCCCAACACCAGCAACAGACTAGCTACTCCAGTGCTGGCAATATGCACTGAAGCTAAACTGGAGAACCAACCTGTGCTGTTATCAATTGCCCCATACACAAGAAGAAATGAACACACAAGTCAACACATTTAGTTAAGGAGGATGAAGCAGAGCCATCACAAAAAAAAGGAAGAAGAGGTAGAATAAGAGGCAACTTCTCCATCCCTATCCCTGACTGAGCTGTGGGATATGCAAAAAGATTTCAGTTGTCATTCAGGTGAGCACATTATCATCTTGCTACTCTGATGCTGGGATAATGGGGCTAGTAGCCTGGAATTAGAGAGCAGGGAAGCCAAGCAGTTGGGATCACTTGCTAAGGAAGAAGGCATTGGTAAGACAACAGTGAGGACAGAAGTCCTTGGGTTCTGGAGGTGACTACTGAAACTGTGAAGGAAAGTTATCCCTTCAAGGAAGTTTTTTATATGTCGCGTAGGCAAATGGACTGCAGTAGAGGTATCCAGTACCTGAAGGAATTGGCTGTACTAGAGATGATTTATGATAACCCACTCAACGTGCAGTCACCCACACATCCAGATGAAGTCCAATGCACACAAGTCCGATGCACACAATGCACAAGGCAGAAATTTGTCATTGTATGCCAAATCATTGGCAGTAGTGGGTTGAAGAGACAAAGTGCCACCGACAGTGTTTGAAGTGGTTGCCCAACTCTGGGAATGCCAAGACAATGTCACTTCCTCTGTTATTTCAACTGTGGAGGAACTGTCCTGGGAGTTCCAGCAATTCAGAGAGTGTATGTCCTGCTCCTTGCTTGTACAGACCATGGGGTACCCTGTGGTCTTCCCTGTGGGATAATGCAGAGGACTTGAGAAAGTGGGATGGAAAACCTAGCTCAACCCTAGAGGAGTGGATATGTGAACTACAAGGAAAAATGACCACAACTGGGAATTTTACCAAGAGAGCTGCTGCTTCAGTGGACAGTTTCCCAGGCAGAGTGGAAGGGCAGGTTGTATTTGTGTTCTATAGAAAACAATTCTAACCCATTTTTACACAAAGTAAGTGGAGAGTCCCATGAGCAGGACTAGAGGGGCCCTGCCTCTAGCCAGCTGGAGAAGAGGGACAGCCAGGGTTACCAGATTGTGTGGATCAGAAAGCCTGGCACATCAGACCCACAGGAGTATAAGTCTCTAGTAGACACCAGTGCACAGTGTACTTTGCTGCCATCAATCTGTCAAGGGGCAGAATCTATTTATATTTCTGGAGTGACAGGGGGACCATAAAAGCTGACTGTATTGGAGGCTGAAATCAGCCTGACTGAGAAGAGAGGGTACTTTCAGGACCCAAAAGGGTACCAGTGAGCTTTTGGTTTAGCTGCCTTGGAGATGGAGGAAATGAAACAGGTGTCCACCTTGCCTGGTCTCTCAGAGGATCCTTCTATTGGGGCTGCTGAAAGTCGAAGGACAAACAAGTGCCACAACAGTGCACCAGCAGCAATATCGCATCAACCAAGACTCCCTGATTCCCATCCATAAGCTGATTCATAGACTGGAGAGTGACTAAAGATGAGGAAAAGACTGGGGTACTTAATGGTGCCTTTGCTTCAGTCTTTAATAGTCACACCAGCCATCCTTAGGATACTCAGTTCCTTGAGTTGGATGACAGAGATGGGGAGCCGATTGAATTCCCCGTAATTCAGGAAGAAATGGTTAGTGACCTACTGCTCCACTTAAATGTATACAGGTGTCCTGGGTTTAGCAGTAGCAGTCAGGTTTTCTCCTTGGTAGCTGGTGCTACTGCTAAACGCAGGACAACAATTCAGATGGGTTCCACCCTGTCCTGGTTTTAGCAGTAGCAGTCATTTTTCTCTTTCTTGGTAGCTGCTGCAGTGCTGTGTTTTAACTTTCAGGCTGGGAACAAAGTTCATAAAAATGATGTTTTGGTTTGGCCAAGGACTTTGTGAGCCTCATGCTCTGTCAGGGAGGAGGGAAGCCGGGAGGAAGCAGAGACAGGACACCTGACCCAAGCTAGCCAAAGAGGTATTCCATACCACATCACGTCATGCCCAGGAGGTAACTGGGAGGGAGCTGGAAGGGCTAGGAGGGTGGACTGCAGGGTTGGAGGAGGTATCGGTCGGTGCTTGATCGGGCTGGGGGTGCAAGTTATTGGTCGCCTGGTGATGGGGTGTTGTATTCTCTTCCCTTGTTATTTACTTTATCATTACTATTATTGGTGGTAGCAGTAGTGATTTGTGTTATACCTTAGTTACTAAACTGTTCTTATCTCAACCCATGGGAGTTGCATTCTTTTTGATTCTTCTCTCCATTCCCCCAGGAGTAGGGGGAGGGCAAGAAGGGGGGGAGTGGGTAACAAGCTGTCTGGATGGGTTTAAACTACGACACACCCAAGAGTGCTGAAGGAGCTGGTGGAGGATCTCATTGAAGCCACTCTCCATCATTTATCAGCAGTCTTGGTCTAGGGGGCAGGTCCCAGAGGGTTGGAGTTTGACCAACATGACACCTCTCTACAAAAAGGGTAGGAAGGACGATCCTGGTAACTACAGGCCTGTCAGCCTGACCTCAGTGCCAGGGAAGGTCATGGAGCAGATCTAAATGAGAGCACTCAGGATGTGTGGGAAAATGGGGGGGTCAGGCCCAGTCAGCATGGATTCATGAAGGGCAGGTCCTTCTTGACCAACCTGATCTCCTCTTATGAAGTGGTGGCCCATCTGATAGTTTAGGGAAAGGCTGTAGATATTGTCTATTTGGACTTTAGTAAAGCATTTGACACTGTCTCCCACAGCATTCTCCTGGAGAAACTGGCTGCTCGTGGATTGGATGGGTGTGTTCTTTCCTGGCTGGATGGTTGAGCCCAAAATGTGGTGGTAAATGGTATCACATCTAGTTGGTGACTGGTCACTAGTGGTGTCCCTCAGGGCTCGGTGTTAGGGCCAGTGTTGTTTAATATCTTCATTGATGATCTGAATGAGGGGATTAAGTATGCCCTCAGTAAATTTGCAGATGACACCAAGTTGGGTGGGACTGTTGATCTGCTGAAGGATAGGAAGGCTCTGCAGAGGGATCTGGGCAGGCTGGATCAATGGGCTGTGGCCAGTGGTATGAGGTTCAACATGGCAAAGAGCTGGGTCCTGCCCCTGGATCACAACAATGGGGTGTCAACCCCATGTAATGCTACAGGCTTGGGTAAGAGTGGCTGGAAAGCTGCTTGGTGGAAAAGGACCTGGGGGTGCTGACTGACAACCGAACATGAGCCAGCTTGTGCCCAGGCAGCCAAGAAGGCCAATGGCATCCTGGCCTGTATCAGAAATAGTGTGGCCATCAGGGCTAGGGAAGTGATCATCCCCCTGTACTTGGCATTTCTGAGGCTGCATCTTGAATGTTGTGTTCAGTTCTGGGCCCCTCGCTGCAAGAGAGACATTGAGGTGCTGGAGCTGGTCCAGTGAAGGGCAATGGAGCTGTTGAAGGGCCTGGAGCACAAGTCTTATGAAGAATGGCTGAGGGAACTGGGGTTCTTTAGTCTGGAGAAGGCTCAGAGGGGACATTATCACTCTACAACTACTTGAAAGGAGGATGGAGAGAGGAGGTAGTTGTTTTCTTTTCCCAAGTAACAAGCGATATTGCAAGAGTTAATGGTCTTAAGCTGTACCAGGGAAGGTTTAAACTGGATATTAGGAACAGTTTTTTCATCAAAAGGTTGTTCACGTATTGGAACAGGCTTCCCAAGGAAGTGGTGGAATCGCCATCCCTGGAAGTGTTCGAAAACTGTGTAGATGAGGCCCTTAGTTACATGGTTTAGTGGTGGTCTTAATGATCTTAAAGGTCTTTTCCAACTTAGTTGATTCTATGATTTTTATGATTCTGTGATTATGGAAGATATCCCTGCTCAGGTGGAGAATCTGGTTTGGAGGCTATCAGTTCCTAATTGGTCAGCTGTGATGCTTTTCTAAAATATACTGGTAGTCTGTAAAGGCCATTATAGGGTTTTTTTGTATGTATTAGTTTTGTTTACTGAATGCATCCAGAATAACAGAATATGAAGAGACTCCTCATTGTGCATGAAAGAAAAAAATATTTTGTTTCACTCCAATCTTTATTTTAACCAGGTCTCAAATCAGATTATGCTTTCTGGTTTGTTTTTCAGAGTGATATAATTGAAAGTGCTTCTATATTTGAGGAAGAACAAATTGGTGGTTGAATGGTGGATTAATAAGTAGCTGTTGTATTACCAGAATAAGAAGATATTTTGGGAGTTGGGAAGAACCTGATTTTCACCCTAGCCTGGCAGCTTTGCTGCTCGCTTAAACACAGATGAATGAAGACCCCATTTGGAAAATCACCAGGTCAGCGGTCCAGAGCTGATGCAGGTGAGGTGTTACTGAATTTGGGAGGGTGGTTTGTTGTTTTTTAGTGGGTAAAAAAAGTTTTCTTATTTTATAGATTTTCTTATGTACTCATGGCTTTATGAAGCTGTTACTGTTTGCTTGTGGTTGGGGGGGTATTTGTTTTGGGGTTTTTAGATAAGATTTATTGTTTTCACTATGGAAACTATGGAATTGAAAGGATATACATAAATTTAACTAAGCTGTACAGACTTATATATAAGGAATTGTACTGGTTTTGGCTGGGATAGAGTTAAATTTATTCATAGTAACTTTCATGGTGCTAAATTTTGGATTTGTGCTGAAAACACTGTTGATAACCCAGGGATGTTTTAGTTATTGATGAACATGGGCCCCCCCCCTCCCCCCCATAGCAAGTAGGCTAGTGGTGCACAAGAAGTTGAGACATAGCCAGGACACCCTACTCCAGCTGGTGAAAGAGATATTCCATACCATAGACTAACACTTTAAGGGGAAAAAATTCTCTTTTGCTCATCTCAGAAGTGCTGGAAAATAAACAGTTCACCATATATTTATAACTTGCTGTAATTTTTTGAATTATTTTATAGAAATTGATCAGGTAGTAATTGTGAAAGAGCATCTCGCTTCTGAAGAATTTTTCTAAATGTACACAGAGATTGTTGCTACATTGTGTGTTTTGTAAATTGAAATAATTAGTCAAAGTATTTTAAAGAGCTCTAATGAATCTCAGTAAATCTCATGGACATTGTAGTCAGAATTATCAGCAATGCAACTGTTTATCCGAAAAGTGGATTCATGCCTGGTGTGCAGTAAACATGCTAAAAGTAATTTCCACATGTTCAGGAGAGATATTATTTATTCAGGCCTAGGTGTTTGGTGGACTGTTCTGCAAATCAAGCACACCAATGCTAGCTTTCTTTGTTACATTTATATGCAAAAGTTAGAAGGTAGTATACTCCACATTACAATGATTGGTTGTAATATACATACAATTGTAATATTTGCTGTGTCATTCTAGCTACTATGCATGCTCAGGGGAAAGGTCTTCACCTGGGCTAGGGTCTTTTTGACCTGTGGGCATGATTTTTAGTATTATAATATGATCGCTTAGTATTATAATGTTGATCACTTTAGGGCACCTTAAAAGTTAGTTTTTTTGCCAAGTTAGGTAATCAAAGGGTCACTTCACCAAATTGTCAAGTAACTAATCCTTTTGGTGTCACTAATCCTGGATGTTCTCCTTTGATCCTTCAAACACAACCAATATCTGGTTGTGCCCATGAGTTCCTTATTGTTTTAAGAGGGTCACTTTGTCCCAGGCCCAAGTTGTAGTAACTATGTAACTATGGCTATCAATTACAGGTTCACAATATAGCAAGCAACATATATCAACACAACAAAAAATCAAGTTACCAGTCAAGAATTGTTCTGTATGCTGGTATTTGGTCTTGTATAAACTGAGCCAGACTTTTTTAGCTGTGCATTCTGTTTGAGCTAGTGTGCAGGACAGGGAGTAGGAATTATCAATTGGAAATTAAGAATTCTACATTCTGGCATTTTGTGGATGAAATTGTTGAAAGTGAATGCTGTTCATTCATTCATCTGTTCAATGATTTGCTTTTTAGTTGAACTTAACTGAGTAATGTAACTTTGTAATTATTTTCTCTCATCTGGAATTACCTCATGTTCTTTGGTTGGAGGAAATTATGCCCTTTCTGTTCTGTACTTCAAAACTTACTAGTGACCTGCACAGTGAAAAACTTTGTAGACAAATGGTGTAGCACATCATCTAACCCTGACCATCGTTTATTGGAGCTTTCCAAGATATCTCATGAAACCAAAGCAGTTTCATATAAAATTGGGAAACCACAATTAATTTTTAAAATACCCAAGTGATAGTCTATTATGGTGCTTTTAAATACCCAATTAATTCAGAAGTGAAGTAACTGATATCAGAAGATTTCTTTGAAACCTTTTAATTTCAGAACCAGGCTTTCAGAAACATTTTTACTTGTGACTATCTTGCATTAATGTTAGTTTGCTGTCACTCATTTGAAATATATAGCTATTTCAATGATAGTTCCTGAAAGTCTTTTTAATACATAGTTTTGAGGAAGAAACCCAATGCAAAGTTTTAGACATTTGCTTCAATGACTTTTCATTTAGCCAGCTGATATCAGTCATTCTCCTTGACAAAACCGGAGTATTTGTGGAAGGAGAATTCTATTCGTAACAGAAAAGAAAATAGGCTTTGACCTGGTGCTTAATATCACTATGGTTCACTTCTAAGCATTAGCTGGGTACTGTGAGAGTTAAAAATAAATAAATTAGACATTAGATTTCTAAAGGTAACCTTTAGAAGAATTTTGTCAAACAGTCTAATTGTGACATACAGTGAACAATAACACTGCAGCAGATTTGAGGTATCAATGTGAACTTTATGTAGAGGGTGATATTTTTTGAATTACATTAAGTAATTTTACTTTACGTGTTGAGTAGAAAATTTCACTATTCATACTCTTAAAAAAGAAAAAACATTTTAGATGGTCAGACTTTTCATTGTTATTTTATCTTATGCTATAATAGGCAACTTCATTTTGCACCATGTAAAATCATAATTGGCACTCAGATTTCTTTAGATGCCATTTTTGCTTTTAATATCCCTACACAAAAGTTAATTTTGAGATCTTTAATTTATTCTGTATGAAGTTTGTTTAATCTTAACTGAGGAGTCCTTTATTTATCCTTATGTCTGATTAATGTAGTATCACTTTTTGATATACATCTCCAAGTTGTATATACATTTGATCAGTCTCAGCTCTTGACATAGTTGTTGTCTAGGCTTGGGTGTGTCCAGCTTCCAAGGCCTGTATACATGTTCTTATTCCTTTATTGCGTTTTGGGAAACAAACATCTGGTAATGGAATTATCTGTTATATGTTTCCTAATTATAGATGTATATCAGGAAAGAGTGTACCAGGTAGCCATTATTAGGAGACTGCATAACCAACCCGCGAACACATGTTTGTGTGTGTATTGTTGTTCTGTTTTTTGTTTAGTGATTTGTTGTATTTTTTTAACATGCCACTACTGAGCAGGAAAGACAGAACACTTATTTATCATTATAGTTTCACAAATAGTGGTCAAATTATTTGAAAAGAACAGCAAAAGCAGTAATTGATTTCATTACAGATTTTAAAATTAAGGTTTTGAAGGCTAAAAGAAAGACCTTGCAATGTGCTATAAATTAAAAGTATTGTGAGTTCATTGTATTTTATTTTTCTTGAAAAAATAAAAGACTGGGAGAGAAAAAGCTAACAAAAGCACGACTAGGTCAAGTGATAAGGAGCTGGAATTAGAAATTCAGAGCAGTAATAAAGACTTAGATGTGGTGGCTTCTTTGAAAAAGCTGGTTTTCCTCTGACCTGCCTGCCAGCCTACAAAGGAAAGGCTTTTATTTGCTGTAAAGTAGGTGTAAAAGAGGAGAAGAATACGTTCTACTAAAATATCTGGGGTTTTGAAGTCTACCTCTACTGGGAAACAGACTTAATAGTTCCATCTTGAGAAATAAAGGATAACACTGAAGATGGAGAAATGAAGGAACAGCAGTTGTGTCTGTTTTGTTAGAGAATAGTTTTCTAGGATATAGTTTCAATAGGTCAGGCAGCTGCTCTGTACCCTAAAAGAATGTTTTATTTTATTTATGTGTTGTCTTACCCTTTTTCTTTCTCTGCGAGAGTTAGGTAGAAGCATTCAGAAACATTTGTCCTAGTTTTCCTATTGAACTAAACAGTATTTTAAGAAAATGTTAGCCAGAATTAATTCAGGCTCAAAAAACACAGGCCAACTGACAATTAAATGCTTAATTCTTTCGTTCTTGACTGGAGTGGAGATTTTGTGTTGACTTTTTCTTATGGAAAATATTTCATTTTGTAGTCGTAAGAGATTGAGCCATAAATACTTTCTCCTTCCTCGTTCTATCAAAGTTTGACTCTGCTCCTTATTATAAAGAAGCATAAACCAAGCCAAATCAGTTTGGGTGTTTTTTTTTTTTTTGTTGTTGTTTTTTTTTGTTTGTTTTCTTTTGCTTTTTGGTTGGTTGTTTTTTTTTTGTTTTGTTTTGTTGTTGTTCATTATTAACTTCTGGTTTTATATTCATGGCAACTCAGTTGTACAGTTTATTTTGAATGGTGTCTAAAACATGGAATTTCATGGAATGTGCTGGTTAGAACAGTAGCACTTGTCATTCCATAGTCAGAAGGAGGTAAAGGGTGTGAACTTAAATTCATGCAATGATATATATGCTACATAAAATATAACTATCCATTATTGTTCTTTTAATTACTATTAACATATTTGAAGTCACATTATTGATTGAGACCAAACCCTATTTGACCACGGAACACTTGATACACTAATATTTCACTTGAAAGATTTCTGTGAACATATTGCCCTTGAAATTGTTGAGAAATTTTTAAATGTCTGTCTTTGAACTGGGCACTCTGACACAGAATGACTAAAGCTAATCATGCTTTTATCACAAGCCATTTAAGTGGTACTAGAGGTTTCATGATCATTTGTGTAAGCAAAGTTGTTTGTTATGTTTGGCATTCTCTACTAAAAAAGATAATCAAAAACATATATGTTAAAAATTAATATATTTTTATTTGCTCTCAGATGTCTTAAGTCATTAAGATACAGTAAGACTTAGAACATCATACATTTACAAACATATTTGTAAATTGATTCAGAGAAAACTCCAGGAACAAACTTGCCAGCAAAGTTTTCAAGCTGAGAAGCAGGTATTCTTTATTGCGGCACTGGGAGACACGGGGGATAACTCCTCCTAACGTGTGTCCCCGTATTGCTATACAAGCCATCCTTATATTGTCCCTGGGCATACGTACATATTCATGAGGCTACATATGGATTACATCATTTTCCAGAGAGTTCCCCGCATGCGCACAGAATTGTAGTGGTGGTCTCTGAGGGTCATTTACTTC